ATCCACTTCTAAAAGTATCTCCTGTAGATATCTCACTTTTTTTGCTTTCTTCACACCCCCAGGACTTCCATTCAGGCTGTTCATCCATTCATTCCACCTTCTCTCCAGGATCACAGACTGAGCTTCATATAAAATGCATTACCATCCTTTCAAACTGCACCATGCACTTATTTTTAAAACTGTTGATGAATTCCACCTCTTATGCTGGAAACAAGAGAAAACATCCTTCTTAAGCAAGGTGGCAAATACATAAGTTATAACAAACTAATTATCTGTCATTTCATTCTTGCTTTTTCCATGAAGTTCATTAAGACACTCTACAGAATCACAGATTTTCTTCGATTAATTGATCACTGCTCCAGATAAAGGTATTTACAGGATTATGTCAGTCTTTGTTTAAAGGAGCTTTTGCTCACAGCTCCTTCACCTTGCTCTTGAAAGCCAAAATACATAGCCTTGATTTTTCTTTGACCTATTTCCTTCTTTGGCATAATTTTCAAACATTTCACTGCAGAACTTGTGATCAGCATTACTTTTAGCATCTATAGGGGTTCTGCAGGGGCAAGAGTAGGGTCAAGTCTGTTAATCCTAACATTGATACCCTCACCATCAGACATCCAAGATACAAAATATTAATGCCCATAGATAATACTGTTAAAATGTTTATTGCAAATATCATATCTATCTCAAGCCTGCCTCCTCTTCTCCAGTGACACAGCATTGACAGTTGGTTTAATAAGTCATAATCAAGCTCTGTTCCACACATTGGCTCTTTTTGCCAGGACACTCAGCCCAGCAGGTACCTGTACACACTGAAAATTCTCCTTCAGCCTGCATCACATTTAACAAATGCCTTAAAGCAGAATCCTGGGAATAACCTAGCCTTTAATAAATACATGGCTTGCATGATAAACACTACCCTGATTTTTTAAAATTTCCTCTAGAAAGAGCTAAACATTTACTGTTCTTGCTCCATCAGATCTTTGTAAGGTACTGGTGTCATTGTCACCCTGAAGATGAGAATCAATACTTTCAGTATTGATTATTGATTATTATTATTCAGCTGGCAACGTTACCAGAAAATGTTGTAGCATAATCAGGGTGGATGAGAGTGAGCTTAAGATTGTAGTACATGCTCAGAGAGATTACAAGGGAGTGTTTCTGTCCCTTCCTGAAGGGCTTTTATTGGATTGCTGAAGGTTTGGGCTGGGGGAGGATCAACACCAAAAAGACAGACACAGCTTAGCACAAGAACTCATTTTCCTGGTGAACAGTCAGACAACTGGAAGGTGCAGAGCAGAGCTTCTACACTTGAGCAGAATGCAAACTTTGGCTCCAAGCATCAAATGAGTTCTTTAGTAAAGTGTACTTTCAAATAATTGATCTACTGCACTGTGCGCTTTGAACCTTCATGGTACAGCACACTGGATGTTTATTATTGTAACCATGCTGAAGGAACTAAATTTTTGCATTAAAAAGGGGAAAGAAAGATGCTAGAGAATTTGATTTCCTGTTTAAACAAAACATTTATTCATGCTGAGAGATATATCATATGGCAAACATACATAAGCAATTAATTTGCTAAGCTTTATACTTCCCATCTGAATATATTGCTAAATGGGGAGCTGAGAGAAAGGTCAACATTCATTAGGCAAAAGGAGGGGGGGAGAATTCATCTGATTAAAACATTAGCATAGATAGATAGATAGATAGATAGATGATAGATAGATAGATAGATAGATGATAGATAGATAGATAGATACATAGATACATAGATACATAGATACATAGATGACAGGAATCTTGAACCTCAATGCATTCCCAGCCACAAGTTCTTAGGGGTACAAGTCATCCCTGTCAGACATAAAACTGCAGCAATCAAAATGGCAGAGAGTAATTGGTGGGAAGGAAATAACACCAGCTTTGAGGAAAAGGATGGCTTTAGCATAAGTCTTTTCTAAAACTTTGTGATACAGTATTGGAATGCATCATAAATTCCAGAGGCTGTTAAATATATTGCCTGGGAAGAAGATTGTAAAAAACCACAACTGAAGTACAATTACAAAAGCTTTATAAGTTACTGCCCGTCATCTCAGTCACTGCAACTGGTGCAGGCTTTTAAACTCAATAAGGACTCCTGCAGTAAATAAATTTCAATTCAGCATTGCCATGACACAGAGTTTGTCCAAAGGCAGTGGCAGCAGCTCAGCTGAAAATGGCAACACGGGAAAACACCTGGTCACACAGAGCTGCCAGCTCACTTCCTGAGGGGGAGTTTTGCTGTGAGGCAAAGGCAAAAATATTTCAAATCCTCCTGATATTAGACAGAACTTTATAAAAAATATCCTCCCTTACCCAAATCCATCTTCTACTTTATATCTGGTAGGTATCAGCAGACTTAGCTGAAAACACAGAACATAATGGGTATATACAAACTCTGATCATAAAATCTTGGTATTATATTATCTCAATATTCTTTTGTTTCAGGGTGGTAAATTTGCTGTTGCTGAAGGAAGCTGGATGTAGATCATAATATTTCCAAAAAGTATTCAGAAACATATTCAGCCTCAACCTTTATTATCTTATTTCTCTGCAGTGAGCAAACTCACCCACAGACTTGTGAATTCTGTTTCTCCATAAGAGACTAGGCATCCCAATAGTCCTCACATGCAGAAAAAATTGTATTAATTTCTTTATCCACAGTTCTCCAGCTCTCAGAATCAACCAACAAAACAAACAAAAATTTCCATCTAAATAAATCTCTCCATAAATCCAACCACACAATTGCCTTAATTTAGAGATAAAAAGATAACTGCATTGCAGTTTATGATCACAGATCCAGAGACTAAAATGAGCTCAATAAATAAACAATCTGTGGTTTGCTGCATCCTGCAAACCAGATTCCTCTTCTGCTTAAGGTGTTACCAGGAATATTGTCTATCACAAACTGGATAAATTATCAGCAAAGGGGAAGTTATCCATCTTGCACCTTACAGAAGGAGAAACCAGTAACAGAAATGTGCTGCCTTGGCTGACACTGGTTAAGAACAGTGCCAAGATAATAAAGTGAATTAGAGAAACTGGGCTGATGGTATTGGAAATAAATCAGAGGGGTGGGAGGGCAATGGGCAGGAGCACTGAGTCACAGATTCAGTGTGACTACTCAGACAGCAGTGCTGAAACCCAAAATGAAATCCAGGGAACTGAAGTCTAAATGCAGAATTATTTCCACTGAGGGATTTACTCCCTTAGTTCCTGTCCCCACTCAGAGCTCAGGCTGCAAAGAGCCCCAGACAAGCACAACCTGCAGAGCCTGGCACGGGGCTGTGGCACTGCTGGGCAGGGAGCCCCCAGGCTCTGCAGAAACCCAGGCTGGTTTGAAGGACAGGGCAGCAGCAGGAACACAACTGGGGATTTCCTGGGTTCCCCAGTATCACCAGCCAGGGGCTGTGTGCACATCACACACGGGATGGGACTGAGGAACGTGTCTCCAGCTGTTCATCTTCCAGCATCAGCCTCATTCCATGGTTGTGACAGTGGGAAGATGCCAGCAGCTCACATCCCCAGCAGCAAAGAACTCAGTGCTACAACTCACTTTAAAAGCTTTTTGACCAATCACACAAAGCAAAAGCATATTGTGCTTCTATCCAACCACTTTTAGATCGAACTAGTGGTTGGATAGAACCAAGCCCCTCTGATTTTAAGGAATCCCACCTCCAGGAGCAAAAAGGTGAAAGAACCCCAAGGCAGCTGAGGGTGCAGCCTCAGTGTTCAGCTGTAGGGCTCTGCCAGCCCCAGGGCTCCAAGCCTGCCTCAGCCTCTGGATGTGAGACTCTTTCTTTGCTGGTTGCTGTTCTGGGGTGCACACAGAGCTTGGGCAAACAGAAAAATCACCAAAGCAGAGACTGGGGTGCCTCTGGTGAACCTTTCCTGCCGAGAGCAGAGCGAAGCTTCCTCAGCACCTTGGCCAGCTCAGATCCGTGCTTGGATCCAGCTTCATCTCCACTGAGTGCTGTGCTACTTCCAATCAGCTCTTACAGATTAAATTACTGCAAAATACCAGAGTCATTTTCCCTCCTGCATAAAAAATAAGTCCTATTTAATTTGCCTCTCATTTGCATAATTGGTAACAATTTTCTTCAGCAATTAGGCTTGTATTTAAATTAATTTCTTCAGACATTAAAAGCTGGACATCCTCTGCAAGGTTGAGATTTTTATTTAAAATATTTGATGGAAGCGAGACAAAACCAGAAAAAACATTTCCTCTAACTTTCAAGATTCAAATCAAAGGTCTTCAAAATCTTCTCTACTTTTTTTTTTTTTTTTCCAAATTTCTGATAATTACACTTCAATTACCAATACAGCTATGCACAAGTACAAAGCATGGAGCCAAATTTTACCTTTAGATTGGAAAGACTTTGTTTCTCACCAGCATTGGTCTAGAAAGCAGCAATCTCAAGTAACTTCGTTTCCATAGTGAATTTCCATCTTATTTGGAGGGATTTTAGATCTATAACAGAGTCTGCCCCATTACATAAAGTTATTCTCTTCAAGTAAATCTCTATCTCCATAATTTACAAATTATGTCAGGACAAAAAGAATGGTTCAGTCAATTGGGAATTACAGCAAGCCATCACTAAAGGTGTTTAATATCCTAAATGCAAAAATTTGAATGCTTTTACTCAGCCCCAGTGTTAATAAAAGACTGTCAGTCAAAATGGGGGTCACAACAATTATGAAAAAATAAATCATGCTTTAAAATATTTATTTCAGCATTTGTTGACATGTAACTACTCAGTGGAATAATAACTGCAAGAGCAGGAACCTGCTATCTGCTGGAAATTTAATCATTAAAGTGCTGCAAACTTCATCACTTATTGATGGTGTAGAACATCTCCACAGCACACAGGACACAGAGCTTCCCACTGAGCGTTGGGAGCAAAAGCAGCTGAGATAGAAAACGAGAATATTCCCTTCCTGCTCCTGAGCAAAAATGTCCTTTTGGGAGCCCCTGTGCCCCCCAGAGCCCCAGGGCAGGGCCCAGCAGGGATCCAGGGGCTCTCGCATCTCTGCAAACACGGGACACTGAAAGGTTCTTGTGTAAATCACCAGCAGGCACCTGGAGTCTGCAGAGAGAAGAGAAATTTCTCTTTTTGGCTCCTAGGCACAGCCCATCAGAGCAGATCCAAACAGGGACCTTCAATGAAGTTACCAAAAGCATTAAAAGCTTGGGGAGAAATGGAAGAAAATTCAGAGATTCAGCTTTTTGCCTTTTAATGTAGAAAAGAGAGCAGAAGAAGACAGAAAATGAATTGTCTTAATGTAAAACACTTCCTGAGAGGGAGCTTGATGAATGATTTTCTGTGTCTGCTGGGGAGACAAGACAAAATTGGCCTAATTTTCAGTGAAAAGGACTTAGATTGGGATAAATTCTATACATCAAAAGGCAATTAGAACAGAACAGGCAGCTGGCAGAGGTTATGCAAACCCTGTCACTCTTTCCAGGCACAGGTTAGGCAGGACATTTGTCAGGCAGTGCAGGTATCCCCTCCTTCTCTCAGAGCTGCTCCTCCTAAACCTTCCAAGCATGGAAAAACTCTGTGCACACGGAATTTCAGCTTGGCCCAAGGCCTGCCATGTGAGAGAGGAGAGGAAAAACGGGAAGGGAAGGGAAGGGAAGGGAAGGGAAGGGAAGGGAAGGGAAGGGAAGGGAAGGGAAGGGAA